ATAAATCTGATTGATTATTTTTAATATAGGATACATATAATTTATTAGAGCCAATTTTTCTTGCTTATCTACTTCAATTTACCCAACACATGGTGATCTTCGTACGGATCTTAAAATAATTACAAAAAAATTAAAATGGAATTGTTAATATGGATAATGAAGGTCCACCTGCTACACCAACATTGATTGCAACAGCAATTGATTAAAGCTTGAAGATCACTTGATCAAAATTCTAAAATTGGTACTATATTGAATCCATCACATAAATTAATAGCATTCATTTTCTAAGTCTGAATTAGAGATGACCAAAAATGAGTTTTTGATGAATATTCAGAAAAATATAATTTGTCTTTAGAAGCTACATCAATACAGAAACTAGTGTTGCCAAGTGAGTTGGCTTTTAGCATAGCTAAACACACTTTTGTCCAATTCCTAATAGACTGGATCTTAAAAAGTCACAAGAAAGTTTATGTCTTAAAAATTGAATCGAATCAGAGATAATAATTTCAATATAAATATTTGTTTTATTTGTTTAAAGAATTTTGAATAACAATTTCAAAAAATAAAATTATTTCTTAATGCCAAATTTAGACATGATAATTGTGAGCTAGTCTAAATTTAGTAACGATCTAGTGGACTAATAACGTTATTTTTTTAGGACAGAAAATGACTTCTATATTTTTTTAAAATTTAGGAGGTTTTAGACCGAGCCAACTATATTAATATTAATTAATAATATTATTCCTAAATATAAATATTAATTAATTTCCGGTTTATTTCCAGACCCTGATTTAACCATATTTGATATTTAGTAAGGGGAAATAAAATATATAATAATAATAATAATAATAATGATTTTTTGAAAACATGGTTTGACTGATCGGTCACACGACTTTCCAAGTTTCTATTCTCAGTTATGCACAATGTTTGTAGTACATAGAATTCGAACATCCGAAGAAAATTTTATCTGAAAAAAGCAAAGAAATTAAGGATGATTTATATAAATCAGCAAAGAGTGATAAGCTTGGCATAACTTTAACATTTGATGGTTGGAAAAACGTTGTTCATCAGAAATTATTAGGTGTTGTGTTAATTAATTCATGTGGAAAAAATCTTATTTGGGATGTTAAAGACATAAGTGGTGACCTTCAGAACTGGAATGTTGTTTATAAATATGCAACTGATTTATTTGAAGAATTAAGAACCCAAGAAATTAAGATCCTGAGCTTGGTAACAGATTCAGCATCAGAGAATGTTGCAGCAAGGTTTGTGGTAAATTTTATTTTTTTTAGTAACAAAAATTTTTTTGGGGTATAAATAAAATAAAGGCTATCAAATGAAAAACCTAGTGCAATTTTTAGACTTCGTGGATTTTCCACATCAAAATCAACTTCAACATTAGCACCAAATAAAAATACACTTAAATTCAACCCAATAAAATTAATTGGGGATTCAACAACATCAACAGATGAAATGTCAATGGATTTAAATGATTCAACGCTATCAACAGCCAATCAATCATCATCATCAGAACCAGTAACAGCAACTTTAGGAATAGCTATTGAACCTATTTCAATAGTAGAAGCTGAACTTGCAACTTTACCACCAAGCAATTTATCAAACACAAATTCTGCTACAAATAGTACCACAATACCAAATTTTGATCTTATTAATCAAATTACTATGAACATACTAAAAAATCTTTATAATTATGTTACTTCATTTGCTACAACTTCAATTCCTTTTGGTTCTGATGCTATTGGAACTGGCAATTCTTTTTTATCATTAAAATTATTTCAAGAATGGTATGATAGTTATACTAGAAAAGTAAAGATGGATCCAAATATGGTATTAAAAGAGGACAATCCTTTGTAAATAATATATGGAGCATACTGCAACAAAACCAGACAAAGTAAACATTAGTGGCGGTTAAATAAAACTTGGCAAATTAGTCAAATCATGGTGATATCATGATATTGACGAATTTATAATGTTACTATATATTTGTTTCATGCTTCGTGTTTTTACACATTTTCATTTGATCGAATGTTCCTTCTGCCTTTGGGCACAAAATTAACATAGACAAACCACCAAAAATCAATAGTAATATTTAAGAAATAATGATGTGACCTATGGATGATCAGCTCAGATATCTGTAAAACAATTCGGTCGTATGGATGGGCTTTTTTAAAAAAGCATCAGAATACGGATGTAAATTTTAGAGATTACTACTATTGTTCACTTTGTCTGGTTTTGTTGCAAGCCTGCCCAGAGTAATAGATCTTGTCACACATAATGTTGATCAAATATGCGGTTTTTTTAAAAACTCTTTGCAGTTCAGTTTTATTCTACAAGACTTGAGCTAATAAAGAGACATTTTTGGTTACAGAGAATTGCATGATAAGCCATCCAATTTTTTGTTGTATCAAGCGATCTAAATACATAAACATTAGATTTTTTCATAATAATAAAAACCAACAATAATTGGGGCCAGATAAATGATCTTATATTTAAAAGACTAACCATAGATAT